TCCCCAAAGACTGATCTGTGAGACAACTAGAAGGGAGCTTCAAATGCCATTTGCTATCAACCAGGACTCAAATGAATCGAGACTGTGGAATTAATTGGATTCAGCTCCTGTTACCTACCTGTCATGTACCTGAATTTCAATGCATTACTTTCAGGATCTTCAGACTTGGGAGATTACTTCCATCTGCTCATTTACTTTGCTGTTACTTTGCTGTTACAGAGTCAGTTCCTAACACTACAGATTGGTTTCAACACAAATACATCACGTCGGGATGCTCACCACTTTGTGCAACCCCAATTCAGTATTAAAGACTGTGAGACAACGTAAAATAAATAGAAAAAAATTATATTATCTTTGTTAAGCAGAGAGTCCCAGAAACATAAGGCTAATTTTCACAACTCACTCCCTTCCTCCTCTTCCATCCTCTGCCTGCCCCAAACTTGTGAAAAATCAAAATGCATCCTATAAACCAACGGCTGCAAAAGAGCAATGCTTAACAAGTTGCCTGTAACAAGCCATTAATACTGGATGATTTTAAGTGACAAACCAAGGAAACATAACTTTGGCTACCCTTGGGCTTTTCTTCAGAAATCTGGTGGACTTCTCTGGGAAAAGATCTCCATCTGGTGGCAAGCTTTAAAAAAAAAAAAAAAAAAGATCAAGGCAACACTCCAGATGCTTTGCTTTTTCTAGGAAAGACTGATGTTACTAGAAATGGAGTGGGTTTACCACAGCTAACATTTCTCTGGCAAGTTTTAAACCTTACATGGGAGAGGCTGAGCAAGGCTTCCTTCAGCCTCTCAGTTTTCCCTATACACTTGTCTTTCCATTAAAAATCCCTTTGCTTGCGCTCAGCCTGCTTTGCTGCTAAGCCTCACTCAGCAGCAAAGCATAAGGCCTCCACTTGCTCTAGCTTATAAATTGTGTCATTTACAGATTAAAAAAAAAAAAAAAAACTGCAGTTCTCTTGCAACCATTTGTGTGAAGCTTCTCTTTTTGGAAAGACTTCTACTATCGCATTTAATATTTGTCATTTGACAAGACTTAGTGTCATATGACAATAAAGTACCACATTAAGCAAGTGGTACCTTTTTAATTAATAGATCATTAAAATTGTTGTGAAAATCACGAGGGAATGTTCAGGAAATACCAGACTAATCGCAGATACTAGGAACAAACTAGCTATCACCTCCTACACTTATCACTAAGGGCATATTTTCTACCTCTTGCTCACTCTAGTTGTAGATATACTAGACTAGAGTTTCTGCTGCCTCCTTGGAAGCAGAACTCTTTTTTATTTTTTTTTCCACTTCTATGCAAATACTGCTAGACGTACACTTTTATATGAAATGAAGCTATTAACAGATATGGCAAGATATCAAATAGCACAAACAACTTCAAAGCATACATGTTTATTTTCATCTTTATGTATAATCAAATCCCCCAAAGCTTATTTCATATTGTCTATTATTTCTTTTTGATTTTTTTTCCTAGTTTGATGCTATATTATGGATTAGATAGCATTGGAATAGCTCGGAGAAACCAGGATTTTCCACATGAAACCCTTCCTACACGTGTTCGTGTGGGAGCTCACACTACTTGAAATTGATACCAAACAAACCCGTTTATTTGGAAAGGAGAAGAGAGACTTCTAAGTCTTGATCACCCTTTGAGCACTATTTCTAACTGGCAACTCCTATTGTTATATATGATTCTGTGTAACAGGTTCTGGTAGAAAAACCATCGTGACTGACAGAAAACCTCCCTTCCTTTGCCTGTAGGTAAACAGAGATACCAGAAAAGATTTTAATACTATCAGTAATAGAGTAAAAAATAATAGATGTTACTTGATAAAAGCAGAAGCCTAAAGTAAGGCAACTTCATCTCTCATTACATTTTAACATACAAAAAGAGCAAAAACTCTGTACAAACTTGTTAGAAATTTTTACAAGGAATTTTGTGACTTCCTAAAAGAATGCATAATAAAAGTTTTTTTTTAAATGATTAAAAAAAAATCTTTTTTTCCTTCTGACTGCAAATGTAAAATCATCCCAGATAATTTTTCACAGTAATGATTTTCTTCAGTAAACTTACCATCTGGTTCTGTTACCTGACTATCCCACTTCACAAAGTCCGGTGAGAATTTCAGTTCCAAAAGAAGGCAAACTAATATAAAACCAGGATTTTATTCCAGCATTATTTGAGGAAAACTTTGGTTTGTGGAAGTTTTTTCTTATGTGGCCTACGTGAAGAAGAGCATTGATTTACACATGCTTCCTGCTCAGGGGAGAGAAAGCTGGAACAGCCAAAGGTTCCCATTTTTACCCTGCCCGATGAATGGCTCCAGTCATGCCAAGATAGAGAAAGGTCAGATAGGAATAAAAACAGTAATAAGAAGTACAAATAATAAAAAAGTTTAAAAATTCCCAGAGGCTGGATTTCTCTGTTAGTATCTTCACTAAGCACTGTAGTTAGTGGACACGAATTCTGCTCAAGGTATCTTTTTAGTTAAGAAAACTATTGATAAGGTTTCTTCCAAAAGCATCCCAAGCCTGAACGTTTATTCGGAATTCAAAGCAAGGTGCACTTACAAGCACTGTTTGTTGATCTACAGTTTAAAGCTTCTTCTTGGTAAACAAAAGAAGTCACCAATAGTGATCTTCCATTGTCATCAAAATTATATTTTTTAGTAAGAAAGGTGGGCTTCCGCTTGTTTGGCTTGTTCTGTTCTAAGGACATGCAAGTTTGGTGGTAGCTTTAGAATTTCGATTAGAAAAACAGAAATGGCCTTATTTCAGTTGTACAATCACACCGATGCTCTCAGGCCAGCTTATTTTCCACTGACTTGCTATTAGCAAAAGATGGTCGTCGCTGCTTCATCAGCTTCTTCCCTGCTCTTGTTGCTGCAGGTGCCTGTAAATGAAAATTCACACGGGGCTTTCGTAATGCTCCGAGACAATTTAGCCAACTCAAATAAAAGATACACTGAGAAAATGAAAAGAGCCTGCATTGCCTTAATTATTAATAAGAGCTCACCTTTCCAGCACTGCAGAAATTATTTATCTTTATTGAAGAGAAACTGAGATTGGGGACCTAATGTTACTGAAGCACAAAACCAGAGGGAAGTCCTCCATCTCTTCCAACTCAGTTCAGCCACCCAAAAGGAATAAACGGTGAAGAACAGAGGTTTCTGCATAAATGGAACAGATCCATTAAAGTGGATTTATCTGCACCATTTCCCTTAAATTACAATCATGCCCTATTTCGGTGCAATTTTCTCTGTTTTGTGCAATTATGCTCCTGGTGATCCAATCTCTCATTTTAGGGGGCATTGCTGCAGCGGATAATGAAACAAGCTTTGGGCTAGTATTATGCAAGTCCCACCGACCGGATAGTCCAGCAGCAAAGCTACGCAAGACGGCCGGAAAAACGGGCGGGATTAGTTGCAGCAAAAGGAGAGGAAGGCAAAAGGCCTCAGCTGGGGTCCCTTTCACCAGCCCGGCAGGTTTTCTGAAACAAAGACATGCTGGTGCAGCTCAGGAGAGCGCTAAGTACCAAGTAACATCAAACTGGGTGGAAGCACAAACATTCCCGCTGCTCCTTCCTGCTGCTCCTTTTAGTAGATCCCTTTTGCCATTAAAAATATGAATATTCAGATACACACATGGACACAGCATGCTCGCATAGCACAGCAGGGTCAGTGCCAGCATAAATGAGGCAATTATTTAATGATACAGAGTTGTATTACCCTGGAGAAACACTTGGGAGGTACTAAACAATTAAAATATTCTGAGCTTTACATTCGTTTGCCTGAAAAGATAGATTTAAGGGAACATATTTTCATTAGGGTCTAAGGTCTTTGGAAAAAAAGTAGAAATCTTACCTACTGCAGGTTTAGTAGCCCTTCAATACTAAATTTGTAAGAGTTGAGTCTTCTTTGACAACGCCAATAAACATTATCGATACAAATTTAATCCCATAATCTTTACCCAGTTGGCACAAAAATTGATCCTTTTGGACCACATTGCGTATTCATTCTTACAAAAGGACTTAACTGCCGTATTTTCATTACTTCGAGGCTTTCAAAAATTTAGTTAAATTCAGATAGCATTTTTACACCTCTATAAAACAAGCTAGTTCATACTTTTTCTAAACACATGCACTAAAAATAGAACAAAACTTACATTTAAATTGGGGTGAGCTCTATGAAATGCTGAAGTTTTTCAAATTATTGCCCAGTCCAGGTTCTCTACAGTTTCACAGTCTCTGGAGTTAATACCCCAAATGGCTAGAAAAACTGTTAGCTAAGCAGCATCAATAATTTACCTGCTTTTCTAAAAGTCTAAAGAGAATCTTTTAAGCTCTGTATTTCCCCCCATAAAGGGGGGGACTTTAGAGAAACCGAAAATAAAGCACGGATGCCAGTGTAGCCAGCTGTGCCCAGCAATCAAAGTTCTACAGGGAAAGCTGCTGACTGGAGTTGCAGCAGCTCTGTGCACCGCCAGGGATGGACAGGCTACGTGAACAGATTGCAGGGCAGCTCTTTACAACGTTAGGCAAGAACATAAAGTACAACTTAGTTATGAAGTTTACCATTTTTATTAACTTTTTGTAAGAGTAATGGAACCCAGTGGACTTTGGGTAACAGGATTTCTCCTTCCTGGCCCCCTATAGCCAAAGCAGGTGCTCTCTTGAGCTGAGGTCTGTCCCACCTCAGGGGACAGCGTGGGAGGGCAGGCAGAGGAATGTGCACACAGACAGAACAGCGCCTCTTGCAGCAGCACCAAATCCCACCCCAACACAACCCAGGCACCAGCCCCAGCCTGTCGCTCCTCTCCAGCTGCGCAGAACTGAGGCTCCCCAGCAAAGCACCTGCCTTCACTTTGGGCCTCACACGCAGGTCCCATTCACGGATCCTGCGGGCTCATCTCATCCCCGGACTCTTATATTAATACATGCCAGTCTGAAGGAGAGGTTTCTGCTCAGCAGCCCCAACGCTGTTATCTGCCGCAGCCAAACGTCTGGTTCCAGGTTTCGTACAGCTCGAGGTCCTTGGCGGAGACGCTGGGTCGCACCGTTTTGAAGGCGCTCTCAAAATCAGAGAAAGCGATGGGCCGCACTTGATCTGCCACAACGGTGGTGATATCCAGCGACTGGAGGCTGCGGATAGGGCCCAGAGAAGCTTCTCGGCAGAGCTGCCTCATGTCCGCCCCCGAAAATCCATGCGACTTCTTCACTATGAGCTCGATTTCACCCTCGCTGAGGCAGCAGTGCTCCTGGGACATGAGTCGCGTAACCATCTGCTTCCGCGCGGGGGCTTCGGGAAGGGGGATGTAGAGCCTCTTCACCAGCCTCCTCCGGGCGGCCTCATCGATTTCCTGGGGCCGGTTTGTTGCCCCCACCACTAGAACCCGGTCGTCAGAGGAGGTTGTCGCCCCATCTAACTGCACCAGAAATTCCGTTTTTATTCTTCTTGAAGACTCGTGCTCCCCATCTCCCCGCTGGGACAGCAGAGAATCAATCTCATCGATGAAAATAACCGCGGGCTGCTGGCATCGCGCCACGGCGAAAAGCGCGCGGACCATCTTTTCCCCCTCACCCACCCACTTGGAGGTGAGGGAAGAAGCGCTGATGCTGAAGAACGTGGCCCCGGACTGGCACGCAATGCACTTGCCGATGAGAGTCTTGCCGGTCCCGGGGGGGCCAAAGAGGAGGATCCCCTTCGGAGGGCCGCGCAGCCCGGTAAAGATGTCTGGCCTCAGCATCGGCCACACCACTATCTCCTGAATCGTGGCTTTGGCAAAGTCGACCCCGGCGATGTCATCCCAGCTCACGGGCGGCCCGTGGTCCACGATTTCGTGCATGATGAGCTCAACCATCTTAGGCTCTATGTTTCTCAGCCGCTCGTCTACGGGAAGCGCCGGTTCCGCAGCTGCCCTCACAGCGAGTTTGCACTGCGCTCCTCCATTTTCACTGCCGTCTTGTCTCGCGACTGGAGGGACAAACTTGCCAAATGGCCCCCGAGACCTGCCTGCACCCAGGGACTTTTTTAAACCTCCGTATGAGGAGATTGGTGTGCGCTGGGATCCGCTTGGCGGCTTCTTCTGCTGATCCACCCAGAGCTGCTCTTTGGCCGTTCTAAAGCCAGGAACGCTGCCCTCCTCCCTTCTGCTTGTGCTCCCCGAGGAAATGCCGGCTTCTGTAATGCCAGGAGCCTTGCACGGAGCGAGGCCAGCAAGCCCAGTGCCGCTTTCCTCAACCATGTTATAAAATGCTTTTCTTTTCCCAGAATTTGCAGACCATGCATGCACAGCCGACTGATTGGAAAGACACCAATTTTGCCCATCACCAGAGTGACCGGATGCTTTCAGAGAACTGTTCCCTGCTACTTCCTTACTTCCAAAGAGCGGAGTTGCCTGCACACCTGCCTGAACAGGTTCCCTGAAGGAATCAGGTGAGGCAGGAAACATGTCTGCAGTTTTGGTCTCAGGAAGCTCGCTGCTTTGCAGACTCCTTGAAGACGAGGGCTGCTCGAGGAGGTCGGGTGCCTGACCTGCCCGTTTTGATGAGCCAGCACCAAGGTCAGTCTCTGCCGCGCTGCTGAAGACGGTAAGTTCTGGGAGGCCCGGAGTGGCAGAGGCACTGACCCCTTTCTCAGCCAGGACGAAGGCATCTGCCGGGGCCATCTGAGAGCTCGGGACTCTTCTGCCAGCCCGCATCCTCTCCTGCACACACTTCAGTTCAAATACATTCTCTGTTGTCAAGGCAGATTGCCACTTGTCACTGTCATTTTGCTGACACTTTGCCAAAGTCAAAATGTTCTCTGCATAGTTATTCAAGCCAGTCTCTATGTTGTCAGAGTCAATAATTGCAGAGTATTTCTCTGCGTACTTTTTGAACAGGTCGGCAGCGCAGACCTGAGAGATCTCAGAGTTTGCCCATGCATACTGAATACGCAGGATTTTGGCACGATATCCATCTGCCTTCTGCCCGGGCGTGCAGGTGCCAGAGGTAATAGCAAAGTAACTTTTCTGCCAGTCGCTCAGGTGCATGGTGCTGCGGTGGGGTTTCTCCATCACCAACACTGAAACAGAAACAAAAGCCCAGTTGTTACAGCAACAAACTTCACAATTATTTATTGTGGCGGCAGCTTCCCCCTTTCAAAAATACGTATAAATGAAAATATAAATATTAACTCAGAGTGCAGTTCCTTGGCCCTTTTGTCCTTTGGCCAGTCATTTCATCAGTTTTAAGAAAAGAGGAGAGGTATGGTATAAAGCCATTAAGACAGAGGTTCTCTTTTCTTTGTTGTTCAAGGGAAAAAAAAAAAAGAAAAAAAAAACCCTTTGCTTCTAATCACAGGTTTCCTGGGGAGGGAAGTAGGCTGCAAAGAATGGTAACAGACGGCCAAACAAAAATTGGCCTTGTTAAGAGAAATCAGCAGTGGTTTTTAATCTTATTGGAAAGAATACTGCACGGTACAGCAGAGAACATATCACAGATCACTGTCCAATGACAAAATCTTTTACAGCGACAGCAGTAAAAATTGAACAACAAAACTAATAAATAAAACTGCGTGCAAGATCTGTGGGGGGAGGGCAATGGAGTGAGTAGGCCTGAGTTTAGTAAACTTTCAGATTAAAAAACAATTAGACTTCTAACTAGCAGTTAAAACTACTTATTTCACTGTGAATCTTCCAAAACCACTTTAGATTTCAAAGTGTTTTTTGAGTGATGTTTGCTTTCAGCTGTAGAAAGCAGAACTTAAATTCCTTTGACCATTTTTGAGTTAAAGAAAAATAAAAGATAATACTTGGCTAGGAAAGACATTTACAAGGTTTGGAAAAATATTGTCTTTTTTATATAAAATTTCAAAGATTTTTTTCTCTGCAGTGCAGTCATAAGCAAAAATAGTTCTTAAAGTCAAGAATGAATTATTTCAGAAGATACACAGGCACGTATAAAAACATGGAATGGCTACCTCTAAAGGGTTTACCAGAAGCTCCTAGTGCACAGTAATTCCCATCTTTTGATCTGCCCCCAAAATACAATTTAATTAAAATGGCATTTGTTAATGACATTAAACAAATATGTCATTTGTTTAACACATGACATGACTTAAATGCATCGAATTCTGATTTCTCTTTTCAACCTCAAGTTGTTTTGTGATTTGGGGGTAAAATACACTTAAAGCAAAAGCGGTTAAAGCGCAGGTCCATCTACTCTGCAGTCCTTCTGAAAACACAACCCTAGGAAGGGAGCACAACTCCCAGGGTCAGCTGTGGACTATGCAAGCAAGCACACTCATGTACTCCACTCCAAACAAGACTGGAAAGAGATCAGAGCGGGGCATTTCCTCTCTATCTGCTCTCAGAAAATCTTGGGTCTGTGACTGCACTGGTCTGCCACAACAGACAGTATAGTCTAAATAAGAAAAGAGCAGTTACACATGTAGTAAGATGAAAAAAAAATTATTTGGGTTTAAATTTAAACCCAACTTTTAGAGAACTGTTCAGAAAAATCAGAACATCCTTCAGGACGAATCATCTCTTTAAAAACTATATATCCTTGCACTGGCAACTTCTAAAGTATTATAGTCTCCCGAAATTGGAGTAATTTCCTTCCTACCAGTTAAGCAGGTTGATGAACAGGCACATGGTACACGCTGTGCTCCACTTTCATGGTGCACGTGCCTGAGGGAGGTGCAAGTTCCACCTTGTGTGATGGGTGACGAGGAGCTGAAGAGCTCAGCCCTCTCTGCCACTTCTCCTGCCTCCTCCAACCAAACAGAAATGACTTCCTCTGCAAGAAACAACTCTACCCCCTTATTATGTTCACCGTTAGGTGGGTACTGTACCTCATTTATAATTTTAACTAGATTTTTCTCCTCAGAGGTCTTCCCTATTTTCTCCCTACTCTGGCTCCCCTCAGGAGCCGTGTTCCCCGCCCCCGCGCAGGGCCTCGCTCCCCCACACCGGGGCTGTCAATGGCACCCGTTTACCGGGGCACCGCGGAGGGCCGTTCAACGGCCACCAACGGCCTCCCCTGAGCGGG